GGGCCAGATATCAGGATTCTGGCTGCAGAAGCATGTACATCAAACACTGGTGAGTAAGGTGTAAGACTGCTGATGACTCCTCGGGTCAACAGGCAACATGGTAGGCTGCTGGCTCAAATCCAAAGAACTGGAGGTCAGCTAATGAGCCATATGAGGATCCATACCCAACAAAAGAAAGCAAGGCTTTTCACAGAATCACAGATACTGGAAGCAGGCAACACCCTGGAGGAAACTTCTTTTCAATTGACTGGCTGTTCAACAGTCAAGTGATATATTCTATTACATTATATTTATTAAATATAGCTATGCTATATATTATATAATTATATTATTAAGCATAACCATATTTGTTATATAGAATAAAGTTATATATAACACATTTATACAATATACTGGAGTGATTATTATACTATTGGGGATATTTTAGTTATATAATTTAAATGATTAATTATGATACAATTAATAAAACAATGGTAATAAAATATAGTATAATGGCTCCAATATTATATCATCTTTCATCATGAGGGATTACTACATCTTAACTGCCAAACCACTGAGAATCCTGGCCAAGCAAAGTTGACACAAAACCTTAACTATCACACAGCTGAACTGAAATTTCTCGAGGCTGCTTGAATAGACAAAATATTATAATGAAATGTGCCAAGACATGGAGTTAGCAAACCTAAACGAAAGAATACATACAGCATTTCCTATTTGGAAATAACAGGAAAAAACAATCAAGCCTCAAGTTGTAATATTAAAGGGTCCTATGAGCAAAATATTGAATAATGCAGGCCGCACAAAAAGAAGATGGAAGGAACACAGAGTAAATACCAAAAATAAATGGTGATGTTCAGCCATTTCAAGAGGTGGCATATGGTCAAGAATGGATGGTATTGAAGCAAGACGCCAAAGTTGCATTGGAGGTATTGATGGAAAGTGGGGCTCCAGGGATTGATAGAATACCAATGAAATCTTTCAATAAAGAGATGCAGCACTGGAAGCACTCTCTAGACTGCCATGATATCTGGAAGACAGCTACGTGGACCACCAATTGGAAGGATTCACATCTGTGCCCATTCCCAAAAAAGATGAGCACAGAACCCAGTGCTTGGTGAATAATATCTGAAAAATAGTTGCAGCAGTCGGTGCCTCCATAGGGAACTGTCAGGAATTCAAGCCTGATTCAAAGAAGGATGTGGGACGAGGGGTATCCTTGTTGATGTCAGATGGATCCTGCCTGGAAGCAGAGAAAGATGTTTTTATGTCTCTGCAAATGCATTCAACTGGGTGGTCATAACAAATGATGGCCAACGTGGCAAGAATGGGGATTGCAGAACATTTCGTTGTGCTCCCGAGGAACCTGAACACTTGGGCAAACAGAACAAGGGAATCCTGCATGCTTTGAAATCAGGAAAGGTGTGGGGCAGGATTGTGCGCTTTCGTTATACTTATCCAATCTGTATGCTGAGTACAGAATTTGAGAAGCTAGACTATAAGAAGAATGTGGCATCAGGAGTGGAAGACAGCTTTATTATGAGCAACCTGCTTTATGCAGGTGACACAACCTTGCTTGCTGAAAGCCAAGAGGACTTGAAGCACTTGCTGATGGAGATCAAAGACTACCGCCTGCAGTGTCAAGAAAACAAAACCCTCACAACTGGACCAATAAACAACGTCACCATGAATGGAGAAATGGTTGATGCTGTCAAGGATGTCATTTTACTTGGACCCACAACCAATGGTCATGGAAGCAGCAGCCAAGAAATCAAAGGGCATGTTGCTCTGGGTAAATCCACTACAAAAGACTTCTTTAAAGAGTTAAAAAGCAAAGATGTCACTTTGAAGACAAAGTACGATTCCAACCCATGGTATTTTCAAGGGCCTCATGCGCATGTGAAAGTAGACAGTGAGTAAGGAAGAAGAGAGAAGAAATGATGCATTTGAAGGAGGGTGCTGCTGAGGAATGCTGAATATATACCACGTGCTGTCAGGAGACCAATCCTATCTTTGAAGGATAGCTGAAATGCTCCTGAGAAGTGAGGATGGTGGGATGTCATGGCACACACTTTGGTCGTGTGATCAGGAGGGACCAGTCCTTTGGAAAGGCCATTCTGCTTGGTGAAGTAGAGGGTCAGCGAAAAAGAGGATGACCCTCGAGGAGATGAGTTGACACCGTGGCTGTAACAATGGGCTCCAACACAACAACAAGTGTGAGGAAGGCGCAGGCCCAGACAGGTCATTGTACAAAGCTGCATACAGGGTAGCCATGATTTGTAATTGGCTTGCAGCTAGCAACAATAACAAAAAACATGATTTCAAAACAATCCATAAGCACCCAGAAATCCACACAATTATTACAATCAGTCACTACCTACTCTTGTTGTCACTGTATGGATGTGCAAGGAGATTTTCATGGAATCTCTGATGGGTATACCCCACTCATCAGCAATACAGATCTCCATACTTAGTTCAGCCGTGGGGAAATATTTAATGACATATAATACATAAACTATATGACAAGCAAGCAGTGTTCTACTTAAACCAATATTTTATTGAAAAAATAATTTCCATAGGGAAGGGGGTTTTTGCTATCAGGTTGTTCATTGCAATACTGTTTAGAGGACTGAAAAGGAAAAAATAATTTCAGCATAACCAAGGAGGGGACGGGCTCCAGAAGACAGGTGACCTGACCTGACCATCGCACACTAGTCAGCAATTTTAAATGATACTGAAAAGAGGGCGTACTGGGCAGCAAAGGTAAGTTTTAAAAAGCGGACCACAAAGCAGGATTTATACTCTCATTCTTTTTTGGTGAATGCATTATGTGTGTATGTTACCCATATTTCTGAGTGGGAGGAAAGCTAATGCCTTTACCTCTCATGCATTTTAATATTGAATGCCATTGTCTTTCTTCAGTGATCTTGTACTACTCGTGCAATCAAATACTATTAAAAAATAAAAATTAGCACAGTTGCATCTGGTGGTGGTTTATTTGGCTTCCTATGGAATGAATTATGCTCAGCACTGGATACTTTGTTTGGACCACGTATTTTTTCATGTCCTATAAGGCAAGAGAGCCCTGATGGCATAGTGGTTACCCGCTGGGCTGCGACCCACAAGGTCGGCAGTCCAAAACACCAGCAGCTCCACAGGAGGAAGACTGGGCTTTCTGCTCCTGGAAACAGTGCCGTCTCAGAAACCCACAGAAGGTTGCCGTGAGTCAGCATGGACTCGGTGGTGGTAAGTTTGGTTTTATTGTGCTATGAGGCAAGAAGCAGTGGAACGCTGCGAAGGCTTGAGCCTCCGCCTGACGCTAGCACAAAGCTCCACTCAAAGGCCTTCAGTTAGTTATTGTGCACTGCTCGGAGCACATGATCTCATGTGGCATGCTCAGGAAATCCTGAGAAGGTGGGAGGCAGAGATGATGTTGGGGCTAGGCTGCCTTTTGCAGAAGGGGAAACTGAGTCACGGAGCATTTGACTTTTTCCTCGCACCATCCCAAGTTCCTCACGCCCCAGATATCCAGCTGTCTGTGGCTTTGCCATAACCAAGAGAGAATGTTTTGATTCCCTTCCAAGTTTCAACATCTCAGTGTAGGTGTGGGAGGGGAGGGGCCCAGTTATGTTTGGTCATGGGAGTGCTTAATCCTGCCTCAGTGTAGCAGACCACACCACATTCTGTGGTTCAAGACTTGACACAACACGCTCAGGTTCTCCCCACCCATTGAAGGTGGGACTGGCTTCTGGTTGCCCGCTGGCCCCTCCTCTAACCTGTGCTGCTAACACCGCAGCCCTGATTCCCTTTTGGTGAGTGCTCTACCACTAGCTCTCGGAGGTCCTCACCCCTCTCTGCACCACACATCTGCATTAGTCTCCTCTCGACTGGGCTCCACCTGCATTCTGGAACTGGCCCTGACTCTTCCTTCAGTCGGTCCCTTTCAGACCTTGCCATTTAGTTTTCACTCCTTGCTCTCTCACTGGGTCATCAGAAAGCCCACCATCTCTCCCCTCAAAGCCTGTCACTAATGGTGGGGATAGTAATGGCCCTGATATTAACTGTGCCCATACTATGTGCCAGGCCCAGACTCAGAGTTGAGTGATTTACATCATCATCTCATTTAGTGATCACAATAACTCTGTATTATCCCATTTGATGGATGCAAACACCGAGGCTCAGCAAGGTTGAGTAACTTGCCCAAGGCCACCCAGCTAGACAGTGATAGAGCAAGCATTTTAACCATCTCATCTCTCTAATCGCAAAGGTTGTGCTTTTCCACACTGCATATGATTCAAATCGCCTTGAGTGCTTTTCCTGGTGGGATCCATGGGGTCCTCATTTCTTGATGAGTTGGAAAACCTCCTGCTGCTAAGAGAGCGGCTATTAACCTCTCGGCTGACATGTTCAGCCTGGCTTCCTCAGATGGTAGGCTAGACTGAGACCAGGCAAGGGTCTGTGTTCCTCCCCACCCCCTGCACATCCTCCATTGCTCAGATGGTAGGCTAGACTGAGACCAGGCAAGGGTCTGTGTTCCTCCCCACCCCCTGCACATCCTCCATTGCTCAGATGGTAGGCTAGACTGAGACCAGGCAAGGGTCTGTGTTCCTCCCCTAACACCTGCACATCCTCCATTGCTCCACGACTTCTCCCTGCTGCCTGTTTCTCTGGAGAAACCCCAGCAGCCAGAGGGGTCTCATTCCAGAGTCCTGGGTCCCTTGGGTTCTCTCTCTCTCTCTCTCTCAGGATGATTCTGGAGCCACAGCGCAGTAAAAGATGCTGGGGTGAGGTTCCAGGCTGAAGGCAGACCCCCATGGCTCACACACCCCCATCTGGTCCCTCTACAGCCTTTTTCCCCTTCCCCCAATCAGAAGCCTTGTTTTGGGGCTCCAAGCCTTGAGCTAAGCTCCACCCCTATCCCAGCATCCTAAAGTTTGGGGGCTGCATTCAAGTCAGAGATTTCCAAATAGGGGGGTGTTGGATGGACTTCTTCTGAGGGCAACTTGCCCTGAAAGAATGGGGGCAGGTGGCCGCCCGGCCATTGTTACTGAAGACAAGTGTGTGGCTCCCTGGGAGACCCTCTGCCCTTTCCTCCTCCCACCAGCCCAGTGAGCGGGACCAGGCTTGCTTATTGTCACCTGACGCTGTACAGCCACGGATCCCATTGGTGGAGCCAGATTCTGTCTGTCTCTCTCCTGCTTTCTCTGCCTTCCCTGCCTCCGTCCTCCACGCTTCTTTGGTTTCTCTCCTGTCTCCCTCCCTGTGCTCAGCCGGGGAGCACCGTCACACCGGGGCAGCAGCTGCTCGGGCTGCAGAACCAGACAGGAGCTGCCTGCGGGGCATGGAAGAAGCCTCCGCGGGGAGAGGAGCGAGCCTGTGCTGCCTGTAACCCAGGCATCCGGCGCTGCTCCTGTGCCTGGGAGCTCATCCCTACCGCCGCCTCCATCCCCCTTTTCTGCCTTGCCCTTCCAGATCTTCCTTTGCAGAGTCGAGTGGAGCCAGGTGAGTACCCTTCCTGCCCCCAGCATCCTGCTGTCCCTCTGGAGACAGACTCAGAGTGGCTTGGAGCTGGGAGCTGGGGCACCCGGGTGCTGTCAGTGCTTCGGGTGCCCTTCTGGAATGCCAGGCCTGATGACCTTGTCCCTTTTCCCCAAGGCCCTTGGCCAAGGGGTTAACAGCTGGATCCAGTAGCTGGGGCACCACAGTTAGTCACCCCGTGACCATTCTGCTGCAGTCAGCACCGCCAGCAGGGACAGCGGGTTAGGGGAAGGCTCTCGGTCCCTCTGGCACCCACCCGGGCAGCTTTTCTGATTGGGTCTGGGGAAGGGGCATCAGTGTGTACGGCATGTGTGCATGTTTGTGAGGAGTCTGCGGTCTGCATGCGTAGATAATTCTGTGTGCAGTTGGTCCGTGTATGTGTGGGTTTTGATTGGGGGGGGGCATGTCTGGGAATGTGTTTGTCATGTACACATGAAGAACATGGGTACAGGGAGGCGTATCTGAGTGGCCCATTGGAACATGCATGTGGAGGCACTGGGAGGCAGTGTGTTTATGGGTGGACATATCACTTGCCATGCGAGCAGAGGGGCTCTGTGTGGGGAGGTGCGGCTCTGGAGCAGCAGGCACCGGGTGGGCGGGAAGTGTGGGCTGGAGCCGTTGTCTGTGGGTAGACCTGGGCAGGTACACAAACCTGTTGGCATGTGATGGGCTCAGGTTGGCAGCCTGTGACTAAAGGCGAACACCTTTCCGAAGACTTGTGAGCGAAGACAAGAACGTGGGCAGGGGGTGAACGGACAAGGGTGCGCAAACAGGTCAGGTGCCTTCTCGCGGGGGTGGTGGCATGTAGGCATGTTGGTGCCTGCTGCGTTCCCTTTTGCCCAAATATGGCTTGTGCAAAAGTGTGCCTTCGAGTGTGAGTGCGTGTGCCTCTGGACGGGAGCACAGGCAGGTCCGTATGGGCACGGCAGCCAGTGGGAGGGTCCTGTGAGGAGGTAGGAGGTGTTGGAAGGTACCTGAGTGTGTGGATGCATGTGTGGGAGTGGAGGGGTATGCGGAGGCGTGCGCAGCCTGTGTGAGCCACATGTGCGCATGTGCACATATGTGTGTGTGTGTGTGTGTGTGTGTGTGTGTAGGCGTAGGAAAGCTCCTCTCTGGGTGGATTGACACGGGAGTGTGGGTGTTTCTAAGGCATTGCCTCAACCTGTCCCTCACACCCTGCCCTTTCGCAGTCATCTGGGCGTCGATAACTTGGGGTTCACGCCCATCATCGGTCCAGCGAAACCTCGGCTTTACTGCTCCCCGAGTATCACCCACTGTCACCCTGCCTTCCGGACTGCCAGGTCTGGCGTCCCTATTGCAGCCCCTGCTCCCCACCAGCCCGGGGGAGGTGCAGTCTCAGCTCTCCTAGAACTGTGCAGGCGAAAGACGTGCAGCCACCCCGTTCTGAAGACGTCAACCACCAAACGCAGCTGCCCCCGTCTCTGAGAGGGCTCTGAGGAGAGAGGTCCCGAGCTGGGCACAGGTGTCCATTCCCAGGTACCCTCTGTCCTGTGAGGGTAGGGGGCTGCTGTTCAGACCCTCTCCAGGGTGGGGGTGTGCCCATGGTCGTGTGTGTTGGTGCTTCTCTTCTCGCCCGAGCTAAGTTCCCCTGCACCTGAGCGTCCCCCGTCTGTCACCACTGGGGGGTAGTGCTGTGAGATGGCTTCCAGACACCTGACCCAGTTCTGGGTTGGACCTGGGGAGCAGGCACAGATTTATTTACCTTAGGACATCTTGGATACAAAGCCACTGCCGTTTGGCTGAACTGCCTTAAAGGCAGAAACAAGAGTCAGGGTGGAAAGTTAAGATGAAACTCGGACTCAGGTGATACACTGGAGCAGGTAGGAGCCATCAGCCACATGCCTCACCCTGCGCCCACCACCCAGGCAGCCCACAGATTCCTTGAGAGGTGCCAGGCTCTGGAGCAGACTTAACTGACGGGAAAGTGTGGGCTGGAACTTCTGGGAGAGCTATAAATGAAAGTACCTGCTTTCGCACAAGGTACCCACACGGCTTGTTCCTAAGCCCTAGTTCCTGACCATGCAGAGGAGAGGAGAGGAGAGGTGG